TATGAGTTGCAAAGAGACCAAACAAAGCCCAGTTCGCACCTTTAGTTTTATATCTAAAATTATAGGGAGCCCTTTGTGGATCCTGTGCAACCCTTGGTATGAATTCGTACACGATCAATAGGATGTGAATATTGAAGAATTGATAATTGGCATCTGTAATATTGATGAAAACCATTAGGAATGATGGTATTGACTTTAGTAAAGAATAAGCGCCATGATTGCCTGAATTCCGTATGACTCCAGGAGTTTGTATTGCAAAATTCACATACTTCTACATAAGTAATTAAGTCCATATGTTATAGTGATCAAACCTACGTCAAATTATAGTTTTTAAAGTGTTATTTGAGAAAAAAAATATTGCCTGGATAAAAAATTACCCAAGTTGAGACACTTACGAGTTTTTAATAGCAAAATTAAACACTTACTTGGTCCATATCTTATAGTGATCAAACCTATGGCAACTTGTAGAGTTTATTGAGGTAATCATTTTTTTCCTAAATAACACTTCTGTTCTTCAATTTGATATAGGTTTATGTTATAATAAGAGGGAAACAGAACCGCTCTACTAGTGATGATAAGACGCATAACTAAATATTCCTACAAGGAGATAATTAATAAACTTATATCTTGCAAAGAGCTGGTAGTGTTTGTAAGCAGTGCTAACCATCTCAACATGAAGATTGTACTTTTTTGTTTGTGTTTTTTTCCGAACCGAAAAAAAACTGTTCTTGTAATTCTGACGACCTATTTAACTTTATGTACAGGTTCCATCTTATCCCGCTTTATGATTTATTATTCTTGTACACTTTTTTGTAATATACATTACAGTCCTTGGTACAAGGCCATTACCCTAATGAGTCGATTAATATTCCTCCTGAATACGAAATACGTCAATTACCATTCTATACAATCATTTAGTTCCAAGCACAATTGTGCGTGAGGTATGTTTTTGCAAAAGTTCATGAAAGATAACATAAGATTTCATAACAGTAAATATAAATATAATTTCTTATAAGTCTTAAACAAAATACTACTGATTTCAGAGACTTTAAACATGCCTAAAATAGTTAGTCTTGACTATTTTTCAAGGTTACAGTAAAAAAAAAACACATATGTCATGAACCAATCTGACAGAATAAAAGATATTTTAATAATTATTATCCTCGGAATTGGTTGTCGAGTTAAAATATTGTTACATAAGACGTGTAGTTAAATGCAATAGGATCGGATACGTTTCTTAGTTTTACAATACATGAAAATGATAATACTGACCTCTAACATAATAAATTTTAATCAACGTTTACTACAAGATTAGGCCTCTCCTACAACCATAATAAATTATTATCCTTAGCATGAGCTTTGATCTTGCGCCACTCTGACTATATTGTCAGACCATCCAACGGCAGTTGTTGCGAGATACGAGTATGCGTAACTGTAGACGTTCAGATTAGGACTAGACACTACTTGATACATATTAAAAAAAAAACTAAAAATATTGAAAGTAATATATGCTAGATTTGCAAGATTTGTAAAGGACACTATGAGGTACAATGTCCTTCTTCAACATTCGACTTACCATCATGATTTTCAACAACATGAGGTATTACGACGTATTTACATATTTAGCCACCTATGAAAATTACTTCATTTCAGACTTGTCTTATATTTTTAACAGGTATAAAAATATCATCGTGTCCCTTCAGGATCGATATCATAATAATTTTCATCATTTACATTTAAAACTGCAATGTATTTTATTGAAGTTCAAAACCACCAAATTTTTTAAAATTCATTACAAAGCGTTGAGGTTTTTAAACAGATACATCGAACCGGGATAGATAGGAGTTGCTCTGTAACTGTGTTTTATTTTTGTTTATCCTTAAATATAAGTTTGTATGCCACACTGTCACAGTGACAAGTAATATGTAATACGATATTGTATACCATGTGCATATAAGTGGTCGTCTTAGATGATGTGCGTCCTAAATAAACAAAGTTATAGCTCGACTTCAAGAAGGCTCTCAAGGTGAGGTGGAACGTTTTACCCACTTATCACTTGATCTTAATTTTTGTCACAAATTTGCTTTACTAAACGGTAATGCTATTAAATTGGTTTTATATTGCATAGTATACATCAATATGTACAAATATACATACAAACTCACACTCTAGTATCCCTGAAGAGGACAGGGAAGGGGTTATTAAATACCCTCATTGTGCCTTTTGCAGACAACATCAACAGCCTATACTAGTCCACTGCTGGACATAGGCCTCTCCTTAGAAAGGAGGTTTTGGCCTACTATACCACGCTGGCCAGACGGGTTGGTATAGGGTTTGTTTCAAGTTTTCCTTCTCTTTGCAGTGCTGTTGTCCTGCTTAGTTTGCTCCCTTAGTCGGCTCTTACGACACCCACGGGATGAATTGGGGTAGTGATAATTTGTATTCTTAATCCGTCACCACACGGACTTCTTAACCTTTGCAGACAACAGGGCATTTTAATGAGTTAAAATAATAGAGAATATGGTAATAAGAAGGATATTGGTGTCCTAAAAGAAAAAGAAAAGGAACATTGTTAATATAAAGGTTTCAAAGAACATAAGCAATTGCGACGCCCAAGCCAGGCAAATTGCCAGCGTGTGCTGAGCCGAGTCCTCACTGCAATCGCAGTGGTGACAGGCGGGACTCCATTTCCCTCCTAGCGACTGAGTGCAGGTACCTCCCGAAGCAGGAAGGTAAGGGTCCTAGGCTGCCGCCCTGCCCACTCGACGATAACCGGCTGAAGCGCCTCCAAGGCGGCAAAGAAAGCACGTGGAGCCTCCAGCCAGGACGACCAACGAACTTCCAAATCCCACGGGGGAGTACCGGCCAATGCGCAGAAACGGTGCGATAACCGCTTATGGCTCTAACCGCCAATATCCTCTAAGGGCACCAGAGGCGTGCCCAATTCTGGGCGGTCAAAGCCGCCGCTCACACCGGTGCACCGTACAGTGCCATTGACCGGACAACCCTGTGTACACCCAAATTAGGTAAAAATCGCCCAAGAGCAGACGCAGCGCAATATAAAAAACAAAAAATTGTCTGCCACTAGCCGCCTCAAGTACTTTGGCACCCCATGATAGTGGAAATCTTCCCTGATGCAGCTGAATGGTTGACTATTGAATGCTTTGGCGATGTCCAATGACACCGCCAACAGCACACCGCTACAGCTCATGGCCTCTTCGGTCACGGCCCTCAAGCGCAAAACAACGTCGACTGTCGAACCCCCCGCCCGAAAACCAAATTGGGCGTTCGACAGATCAGGGCCCACTTCGCAGAGAACACGATGAGGGCAGAGAGACCCCTCTCGACTAATTTACCCGCCTCGTCCAGCAACACGGTAGGCCTGTAGGCCGGGACTGAATCGGTAGGCCGTCCCGGCTTCCTTAACAGGACCAGCTTCCCGGTCTTACATCACTCAGGGAAACGTCCGGACACCAAACTAGCCTCGAACACCTCCCTGATGCGGTCTGACATATGTTTGAGGGCTAGGGCCAGCACTCGAGCAGGTATCCCATCTGGCCTGGGGGCGGTCTTCTTGGAATTCTAATTGCTTAATACCGAATTAAGCAATTAGAGCAAGATCCCTGGGGCGAATCTGGGGGAGGGGACTTGTGACTCTCGAGTTGCAAGTGTGAAGGGGCGGCGGTAGTGTCTTAACATCAGGTTACCCATCTGTTTGTTAAGCCCCTTTACTATAAAAAACCACACCGCTCCCGCACATCAGTGTAAAGACAAAATATTCAAATTCATACTTGACTTATTGTTGCACTAAAATTTTTAATTAAAAGATCATCAAAATTTTTTTTTTTTTTAAAGGTTTAATTCTGGATGTTCGAAACGTTAAAATTTATGTTTAAAAGAGTTGGATTAGCTTGACTCGTGTGAACATATACGTGTTAAACGACCATTAATCCGAACTTATGTAGTCGTGGAACAACACAACTACATATTTGTTTATAGGAAACAAACTAATCTTTCTATACATTATTATGAAAATTAACTTTAAGAAGAGTAATAAGACTGACATTATCCTGACTTGGTAGTGTCAATATTTGTTAGCTATGTATAACATATTATTTCAAGAAATTCTCAGGTAGACATAACTCGTTCACACAATGAGTATTTTGTCTACAGGCTTGTTGATGAAATCAGTGAACTCTCTTTTGTTTGAATTATGGTGATGTTACACATTCAATGAAGCCACTTTATACATGGGACACGTTTCCGATATTTTTTTAACGCCATTTGTTACATAAATAGAAAAAGATTATACACCGATGTGAATCTGGGCACTCCTTACATATTTATAGTGTAACACATTCTTGGTAATGTGGAGTAATATTAACAAAAACTAAGTAAAGAGACTAAAAATCTGCTCTTATTAAAAGTATTGTGGGCAAGTCACTTAGCTGCAAAACTGCAAAAATGTAGATTGCTTTGTAGAGTTTTTATTTGCATTATGATCATAATTTAAAATGTGTCTGATTCTACCATTCTTATTTAGGGTTTAACTTATATAAAAGTTAATGGTTATTTAGTACCTGCTATGTTGTAGGGTACTATGCAATTAGGCACAGAACAGAAGATTTGCCTACCAACTTACATTTACGCTCCTGTGGCACAGAATATTTATACAGGTGGAGCTTCCCGACGTATGAGAGTTCAACGTAATGTCAAACACCTATCTATAACAGAAATAATTTGACGTCTAAATATAAACCGTGCATAAGAATTCACAACACAGAGAGTGCGAGACAGTGAGATAGTGCGAGTCTCTGTTTCCTTGCCAATAGCTGCGACATTGTATCTATTGACACGGGCCAGCAGCACGTTCGCCGCCGACTATTTTGAGTAGACGGATGGCACACGTGTTGAGTGGTGGCGGCTGCCGTTTGGGTCCGCGACCTTATCTCTAACTTCGCAAAAAAACCTTATGAATGAATTCACCAAATCCCTACAGAATGTTATTAAGAAACGCACCGGTGGTGGCGCAAATGCAGGTGGCGGCGGCGTGGTACATATCGCATCACCGCCCGCCCGCAATTTCGCGTAAAATTGGCAGCGTGCGGCGGGCGGGCGGCGGCAGCGGCGCGGAGCGTCGCTCCCGAAATAGTGTTCGGGCGCGGTCGTACGCTCTCGGGAGCGGCGCCCCAGTCGCCGTGTGGCCGCGCGCGCGCACCCGCGTCGCCTCGCCAGCCGTCCCGACGCCGCACGAGTCCCGCCGGGTAACGGAGGTCCCGTCGGTCCACTAGTATCTTACGGTGCGCGTATTTTAGTCACAAGAAGGCGACGTTAGGCGCGAGAAGGTCCCGGACCGCGTCGGGCGCGCTGCCCGCGCGCTGGCCGCTGTGCTCTGGTGGTGGTGCGTGGCGCTGCTGCGGCTGGTCGCGCTCTGCGCGCCTCCCCCCGGCCCGTCCGCGCCCTCCGCCAGCGCCGCGGAAGATGCGCCGTCGGCGGCCGCCTGCGCAAGCGCGCCTTCCAACACCACCGAGTCGTCGTCGCCGCCGCCCGAGCCGCCTGACCCGTCCGCGCACACCGGTCAGTACACCTGCCGTGCCCCGCGCCTGCACCCGGGTCTACTTCTGTGCCAACGATAAATACCTTCAAAGTTATCATCCGAAAATCTCCGTAGTACAGTATCAATTTGAATCACTTGGACCACGTGGCCTTTGCCCTAATTACATATTTCACAACAAATAACAAATACAATGATTTAAATTTTGAATTTACAAATTGTTTCTTGCATTAATGATATCCAGATCTCAGTTTCTACCTAAATTTCGACGGATTAAATCCAGATAAATTTTAGCTCAGGAATTCACGTTTGGATACTCGCGCTATACTAGGATCGTATTAAAAGGCAGCCAGACACCAGACATAAAGTTAAAGCACTCGAAGTTATGAACTGATAACTGTGATAACATTGTTATCAGTCTGTAAACAACAAACAATGCTTTGTTTGTTGCTAACGTAAATATTTTCTAATTGATATCTTTAATTAGGTAAATTGTTTGGGGTAACAAGTATTTAGCACTGTTTTTACTTCAAATCATAGATAATAACGTTTCGATTCACTCTATTGTAGTTTTCATAAATATGAAATAAGTTATATTCATAAGTTCTTATTAAAACCAACAAATAACTTCATACATAATTTAAATATTAAATTATTTTATAATGTGTAAACGTTGCTTAAGAAGAGTTTCAGACACTTTAAGAATATTCATCTGAATCTGAATTCTTTCTTGAGCCGTAATCCATAAGGTCAAACCCCTTTGCCAACACATAATTGAAATGATTTTTTGAAATTCAATAATGAAAGAGATGACACATTTAAACAACCAGTTGGACGCTATCGGCAAAGATAAGATATGACTGGAAGCAGCTTAGAATATGTTCATTGAGAAAAGGAATGTAGAGAGGTATGCGGCCGAGGGCGCGGTACCGGCGGCGCGGCGGCGGGACGTGCGGATGTAGGTTATCAGGGCGAAGGTTCCGCCGCCGCTGGGTGACATCCCTCGCCCTCGATTCACCCTGCCTCCCCACTTCTGACGCCTCTCGCCAAATTTGCGATACGCACTGCGCAACTACTGACGCCTCTAAACACAGTATCTAGCAACGACTACATACATTATACATTTGTACATACATATTTATAAAACGAACGAGCGATATCAACAAAGACAAAACAATTGAACAGTGTTTCTCAGAATTATAACCATAAAGTGGAGATATATCGAACAGACAGGTCAGAGAGGCAATTAAGAAACGATAAGTGAACGAACACATATGCAGATAACGTTGATAGGCGTGTTGTAGCGTGATTCAATTTGCTAATTAAGTTGCTCACTAATAAGACCATGTCTAAGGTCTTGTTCCAATGATAATATTATCAATTTACTTCTCATCTTTTATAATATGACTAGTTCAAAAGACAACAAAATAACGCCAAAGTAAAAGTATTTCAAATGACTACTCATGACTAGATTTTAATACTCGAAAACTCTTTTAGATTAGATGATTCACCACATTTTTTCTACAAACACTATTGAGCATTAAATTGAATTCATAGACCTACTTTCAGAAATGACTTTTCCATAATAAGACATACTTACAATATATATAGGGCAATAGAATTTATGGGGAGCACTTTCAAACACCCATAACTTATCACCTGAAAACAATTTATCTGCTTGTTTGCTTGCCAGGTTCTAAAAAATGTATTCGTCTGCCAAATAGAAAGTAGAAATATACATTTTGTAGTAGAATGTCTACAAATGCTTAAAAACGGCTTATAAATTACGAACCTTATAAATGAAAATACAAAGCTAACTTCTCGCTTTAGAAATTGAAACGGAATGTAGCACATATTGTTTTATAATTTGGTGACTTGAAGGCATGCAATGTATGAAATTTAAACAAAATTGTATTATTTTTTATTAAATGTAGAAGTAAGTTTGCAGAGAAACTTAAATAATAACTTGAGCCGTCTCACACAAAGAACCGCTAACTATCAAACGCAATAAATCAATGTTTGGCTATAGAAAGTGCTGGTATTAAGACTTTTTCTTTATTTATTCCACGTTTTCCACAGAAAACGACATATAACAAGTCATTCGGTTCACATCAAGTATTTTTTTAAGAAAGGAGAGAGAGGAGAATAATAAATAGCTTCTTAATTTTTCCTTATTGTATAAAAACAACTCGTATATTATAAAAACATAAATTCTCTACGATAGTATAATCGCTGTTCGTCTCAACACTCTGGCTTCACAACCCTTTACATAAAAAGCGAAACGAAAACACACTCTGGCTCTAACTTCACTACATTGATATATGTATTACAATAGGATAATAAGTACTATAAATAACAGAAATTCTTAAAAGTAAAAATGAAATGAAATTATGTAATAATTTCATTTTTCCTTTTAATAATCTCTGTATTCTTTGCTTCTAGCAACCATTAAATACTTAGAATTTATACGCAGTCTTTTATTGCCGTCTAAGTTTCTGCCGCGGTTCGAAAAAATAGTAAATCCGGGGCTGAGGAACTATCAGGTCAGGTGACTATCTTAGAACACTATATTTCAATCAAAGTTTCAAACTCTTTTGGTTTCAGGCATGTACGATTGCGAATGGTAAAAATATGATGATTTAACAAACAAGTTAGATTAAGCAAAACTAGTCGAAAAAATATATTTACAGACTTCAAAATTTTAAAATAGTAAAACGAATAGGAATTACATCAGCCGCCTGACCCTTTAGCGATTCGCTGATGTAAAGTAAACTAAAGTCAAATTTAAATTAGGTATATTTCTTATAATAATTTTGGACTTAGGGATAGGTTAAACTTACTACACGCCCACTAAACTTTACCGCACAACATACGTTTACAAACTTTCAAATGATCCCAATTTTAGACGCTATCTACCAAGCTCGCTTTGAAGTTGTTCTTTGAATGTGACTTCTGTTACATTTTGCGCATTGCTCTTGATAGATGTGTCTGGCATCCACTTACAACGAAACTGCAGCTACAGCAAAAATGATTGAATCGTTACCAAATCTACATCATACGTAAGCATTTAAGGAAATAACCAAAAAAAGTAGTTATAATAGTAGGAGTAGATAGTAGATGATCAACGTTACAAATGTCTCTAGGAAATCAAGAATTTTGTAACGATTGATAAATGATTTCCGTGATTGATCAAACCTTAACCTTTCATAGAGGATTTAAATGTTTTAAACATATTTGCAAATATAGTCATGCCTGCCGTAAATATATTCTCCTGTTACAATATTTTAACTTACCTAGACGTTGACCTGTTTTGGCCTTTCCCATACTACAGGTCAACCAAACTTAGTAATTAGATGAAGAATCAGTCCAAAATGGGCTAGTTTTGGCCAAAAAAATCGTAGTTTGGTTATAGTTTCGGTTTAGACCATAAATCAGCTGGAACTTTGGTCGATACCGAAACTCAGTATTCGGGCAAAATCGCGCTCCAATCGGGTTACTGCCTCACGTTTCTTAAATTAATTCACAGGAACCTTTGCCAATGATATTTGGTTTATACTAAGTACCTTCTTACGAAGTCTATTATTATCAATAAAATAGAAGAAAGTATTCCCTTTCCTTGTAAAGAGCTTTTTTTATATTAATAATGCAATGAACTGCTCGATTAATTCGAATATCGATCTCAGGACGTCCACTAGTGTTGATCATAATTCTTAATTGATCTTTAAAGTAAGTTATGGTATTATTTTATGAATTTATTAAGGTTTTTAATTAAACTGATATTAGATAATAGATTGTCGTATTACCAAGAGTTTATATGATACGTTAAGGATAATTTTTAAATTGGCAACCCTCTTGTGTGCCTTTACCAAAAAGAGGTTTCTGTATTGTAATTGAAACCTCTAATAGCACACAGTCTTCCATCACGACGATGACTTCACCCTGGCCATTGGTCCCGTCCAATGGCCAGGGTAAAGTCATCGACTGAATCCGCGATAGATCTTAACTGCCTGTCAAAAAATAACAAGCACCAACTTTGTATACTACTAACTTCTAAAAGACAAGTAACTCACAGCACATTACCCACTGCCTAAGTTACTGTAACTTTATCTACGACTACTGGTGGGTGAATATTTAATCTCTCCGGGGTGATTAGGAAAGAGTCTAGCTTTTATGATGAAGTATATTTTTGATTGAGTTTGAGCAACATCTTAATTATTACATCATATTTATAATATAGTGTAGGTAGGTGCACATAACTACTAGTTAACACCACCTCCGTATATGGTGTACTAAGAGTGATTTGATTCCCAAATAAGTCCTTTTAAAAAAAAAGTTGAACCGACTTTAAACAATACTGACAAAGAGCACTAAAAATTTAATTTTCTTAAAAATATATAATTAGTACCCTCAATATAACAGGTAATATTATAATAGCAATAGTCCTTTCTAGTCTGTTTGAAGTCTTCTTGTTTGATTTTTTTTACCATTTTTAGTGTGAGATATGTTTGTAATGAGTAGCTACGTAGTACGATATTTAAAACACTACGTACCGTAATGTACTCGTATATTACTAAACTGTAGTATGTTAGTCATATTAAATAAAGTTTAATAAGTCCGTTACTTTATTTAGATAAGGTAGTAAGATCATACATTTGAACCCGAAAATATATTGTTTTCCATATTACTTAATTTTCCATAACTAAGAGTGATATTTTTTCTTCACGTTTGAATGGAACTAAAAGGGAAATATACCCTTAAAATAAAAAAAAATACTTTCATAATCGGTTTACAAATGAAAGAGTTTTGAAGTAACAAACATGAAAATTTTGTAATCTCATATATGCACTCTCAATATCATCATATATGCACTCTTTTATGCACATATCTCTTTAACCCTAAACAAACACCTAACAAATATCTTGAAAGAAAAAATAAGGTCAATGCTTAATTAGATTTTTAAAAGAGTTATCCTCGGACTCCTAAAGGTCAAGGACCCTTCTATCATCAGCTCAGCAATATGACATAACTACTACTAAACGCAAATACCTATATAGCCAGACAAACAAGCTAAAACCGCTGAAAATTTTGCCGGGGCTGTAAAATCTGAGGGTTTCCCTCGATTTCTCTAGGATCCCATGATCAGATCCTGATTTCGTGGTAATAGGACTACCTCGGCAGTATACGCTTTCGATTACAAAAATAATTTTGAAAATTGGTCTACAATTAACTTATATTACTTAACTTACTTAACAAACATAAAAAAGACAAAAAAAGCGATGAACAGATAACCTCCTCTTTTGTGTTTTTGAAATCGTTTAACAACTAAAACACAATTCCGAAATCTAATCTTTGTTTTTTAAAAAGAAAACTCCCGCACTAGGAATACATCCTGTGCCGCGGGGGACCCCACAAACAAACAGGAAACGGGATCAAAGAACACCCAGACTCAGAGCAAGTGTTGTCCCATGTGGGAATCAAGCCTACAACTCTCAGCGAATTAGGAAACGGCGAGCTGACCGCTTAAACTACTTCTATACAAACAATCTATAGTACAAGTCAAGTCAAGCACATAATCAAATCCATAACACTACCGTCGCTCGTAAAACAATCAATAAAACACATTTTTTCTAACATTTTCTGCTGCAAATCCAATCAGTTGGAAATAGTATGATAAATATAATTAATCAGTTATTTTTTTGAAAATATTTATGTTTATAGCTGTTGACTGAAATGTGTATTAAGAGATCAATAATTTATGAAGTTTAAATTAAAATATTAATCAATCCAAATGCAATAGTAGTGTTCTACAGATTAAGTATTTTTTAAATTTTAAACAGCATACCAGAGTTTAAAAAATTATAATCGCAATATTTTTATGTGATTTCGTCGAACAAAAACTAGCGAACCCGACTTCGAACTAACAAGTAAATTATTTTGGATAGTAATTCATAAAAAGAGAATGGAAACTAAGAGATATTTCATGTAGAAAATTCTAAACGAGATTAAATACAGCGCAGAGAGGCGCATAATGATACAATATTTATAATGATAAAATAATGATGCACTATCTAAATTGTTATATATAAATAAAGAAGATATCTTGATTATATGAACAAATTCTAGATTCTTTATGTTTTCTTTGCTAAATTTTACTTTCTATGCAAAATTTATTCATATCTGGGGAGAACGGCACAGCTTTTCAATTTCAATTTGAGGAAACTACGGAGAAAAATGTGGCTCTATTTTATTCCATCACTATTATTCGATTCATCCATCTATAAATAAACTGTGCCATTAGTGTAAATAACAAATGTTAATTTAGTAACACGAACTAAGTTATATTAAAGTGCCGCAAAGTGAACTCACTCACATAAATTCTGACACAATATTTATAGATCAAAATTGGTGGCGGGCTATTTACAATAATAATTTTTTGTTTACAAACGTTAACATCTGAACTATACACTCAAACAGGCCACACCTTAGTACTTATTACTCCTATATATGCATACTTATATAAAATAAACCTAGTTATAGTATCTAACTGCATTCTTCTAGAAAACATAAACTAGACGGTCTAGGTTAAAACTACAAATAAAAACATAAAACAACGCACAACCATTACAATTCACAAACACTGTTCATATTTTTATATCCATCCAAGAACCAGCTTGATGACCTATTGTTGCAACAAATAACACTTGCCTATATGGCATGTTTACATAGACTCCATAATTTCCAAGAAGCAATCAACAGTTGAACTTTTATCTTTAAGAATAATCACGAATCTGAACGTATTGATCCAGAGTCAAAATTAAATTATCCAAGAAATTCGAGACATTTAATCGTTTGAACGATAACAACTCAGGGAAGGACCTCTTCAGAGCAACAAGGACTTAGTCTTAGTCCCAGCCTATTGCGTAGAGTGAGATGGGCGAGAGGGTGTGGGGCGGGGAGAGATTTGTTATGGCGGCAGGAAGCGCCCGGTGGCATGACTGGCACGTGTAAGAGCGGCCTTGAGACGGTAGGTCGTCGAACGCGACGCGCCGCCGTGCCGCCGGCAGACACAGCCGCCTGTCGCCCTCTGGCCAACCACGAAATCATAGCCTTTGTCGCATTGGCAGCGCCACCTTGCTCACTATTTACACCACCGGTCCCGTACATATCTCAACCTCTATTTGTGTTTACCGATGACTCTGTTCACCGATCGATCGTAATTACGCATGTATTATGTTTGTTAGGTAGGTATGACACGAGGCGCGGCTCCTGTTTCACGTAAAGGTCAGACGCGCTGCACTATTACATCGTTCGTTTTGTGAATAATGCATTGGAATATCGTTTGAATCCGATTAACCGAGACACGTTTTTAAAACAGCTTAGATCAATCTTTGTATATGTTTGGCACGAGTAAAAATGTAGTAACTCTGCTCAGGTGCTGGGTCATCGCCGCGCGAGAAACGTATGTCTATATTACAATTTCTAATAAGTGGCATTACCGTATCGTAGCTGCGTGTAAGAAGTTTTTTCTATATCTTTTAATTTTAACAAGTATATTCATTCATGTGGTGTGCGAGGAGTGGTGCAGGAACTCCGCTAACTTCTTGTTATTACACAGATATAGGAGTTAGGGACAAGAGGGGGCGGGGGTAAGGGAGGAAGTGGGTCGCGGGGCCGTTGCCCGAGCCTGGCCTCAGCTGACGACCTACCACCGCCTATACCTCCCCTCATCTCTACGATTCGCACCCACACTCATGAGATACAAACATGTACAATACTTATCACTTTTATTGTTACTTGAATAGCACATAGGTATCTGTTGAGATTTGTATTTACAATAAAGATTGCTTAAAACCAAAACAATATCAGAATTTATTAAACGTGGCATTCAAAGTGACTCAAGTTTTTTTACACTGTATATAATAACCTATAAGCATAATTATGCCGTATGAACATTAAACTCAAACTATCTTTATTTCATAAAAAAAAGAAATCGTCTTAAACTCGATCAACACACACTAGCAACAGTCTGTTTAGTCAAAGATTTCGCAGAAGGAAGTGTTATACAGCTGTGCCGATCTACAAACGCCCGTTTTCAAGGTGTTAAACCTTATGAGAAGAAAGGGCAAACAAACTCAGGACCACTCTTTTTTAATTACAGCTACTGATACAGTACAGTCGCATCATTAAATATATAACGACAATGTTTTGATGTGTGCGCCTGATGTGAATGTCAGTTATTAAGGACTAAAAGGTAAATTGACTGCACGGATGGCGCAGTGGTTTAAGAGTGTTGTGGGTTCAAACCCCACATGGGACGACGCTTTGTGTGATCCACAAATTGTTGTTCTGAGTCTGGGTGTTCTTTGTGTCCATTTCATGTATGTTTGTAAAGTCCCCCGCGATACAGGATATATTCCTAATGCCGGATAATGGAGTTGTCTTTTTAAATTAAATAAAATAAAAAATACAATAAAGAGAATACAAGATATAGAAATGGAATTGAATTGGTAGTGAAGCACACTGGCCCATACTATATTTCCACTTAAGAAATAGCCAGTGCTCAATTAATCCCAAGCATTCTTGTTTTCTATATAAACCACACTCGAGTAATAGGCCTAACTAAAATCATTAAACTCTGTCTTAAAATGTTGCAGTTAAAAGTCAGAGTTCAGATAGATCTAATTCCAGTCGTCAACACCTGGCTGCACTTAGCAATTTATTAAACTTAGGTGTATTATATTTATTCGTGGCTAATACCAGGTGTAGCCGTCTATATGACTAAAACTAGGTCTAATAATTGTTCTGAAATAGTCAAGAACTAAATATTACCGATGCCTCTTGGTTAAAACTGTATATTTTCAAATTATAAACATTTCATTACAATTTAATGGCAATGGATTGTACTTAGGTATAAGTAAATTATAAAATGTTCGAAAAATTTATGAAGACTGCTATATATCCCCATATAATCGCTCGGAAACCGAACTCACAGCACGGATTTAAAAAAAAGACGTTCTTCAGTCTCAAATCTAGATTGTTTTCGAATTATCTTTTTAATGATGTGGATAATGAGGGGCCGGTTGACGTGGTATACACGGATATCGAAAATGCATTTGACCGGGTGGATCACGTCATCTTGCTTAACAAGTTATTCAGACACGGTATACGTGGTGATCTGTTGAGATGGGTTCAATCTTACCTAACCAAGACGTCTCAAGAAGTAGTGATGGGAGGGTACTGATCCAGTTTTTGTGAAAGCCCCCGGCGGTTCGTATTTAGGACCGTTGTTTTATAACGCGTATTTTTATGACATCACTGATGCCATCAGCAAATCTAAATACTTAATGTATGCTGTTAATAAAAAATATTTTTAAACATTAATTAATTAATGATTGGCACTCCAGTCTGACTTAAGCCAGCGAAAGCCAGTCATGACCTACCGTCAAAGTTGTAAAGCCCACGGCTTGTTGACTCTTGAGGACAGACGTATGGTCCTGGACATGTGTTTGTTGTATGATACTATAAATGGACATATTGATAGTGCCGAATTGGTCTCGCAAATAGTATTTAACACTCCGTTACGTCGCACCCGACGTACGCCCATGCTTCATGCACCCCGACATGCAACTAACTATGCAAGAAACAGTGTGAAACAGCGTGTTTCGCGTACTTATAATAATTTTTTCAACGAGAAGAGATCAATCATCTCTTCTCGTGTTCGAAACAACCATTCAAATCTAAAATTGCTAACGTTTTGAGTGGACAGTGTAAATAATGGACAATAATTTTATGGTGTGTCAAATTTTAGACCTATGTACTAATTTAGTATTATGCTATGTCAACTTTTCATGTTTTCGTTCGCATGCTGGATATATACTTTTTAGTTAACCACGTAAAACTGTTATTACCCAAACTATCTGTGTATGTTATTAAGTTATAAACTAATTGTATCGCTGTTGTTTTTCAAAAAATAAAAAAAAAGTATAAGTTAGGTAATAAGTCTATCCGTACCTATTTCTTGATTGTATTAAAAAACAATAATTTTAATATAAGTCGAAACTTGTAAACGTTGTTATTGTTTTTCCCATTAAATATACAATACGCCAACTAGCCATTGTCTATGCTTCTTCAGGAGGACAATAATATAAAAGATAACACTTTAACAATAAATTTAGTGTTATAATTTCTCTCTAAATCGAATGCTATCAAAGTACATAATAATTAAAGGAAGTTCAAATCAAGTTTTATTGGTAACTAAATACATAATATTAATGTTTAATACGTATCATACTTTTCAAGGCTTGTTCATTGTACAAATGGGTAGAGAGGTTAAGAAGTTACGTAAAATAACTGCTTTAAATGATCCTAGAAAGTTCGAATGAATCGACTAGTAGGATCATAAGGGCCTCAATCCTGCTATTTTATGTTTACGCCAAGCCACTGTCATACCACTGACACGCTATTGAGATGCCATCGAGTGGCCATTGGCATTGGTATAAATATCGGTAGTTGAAAATATATTACGTTTTTTGAGGAAATGATTTATTTATTTTTATTTTAATAAATTAATAAAAGAAATAATTAAATTAAAATAAATGATTAAAAAAATAAAATTATAAAAAGAAAAGAAATAAATTAATTATTTAAATAAAAATAAAAAAATATCATAAAAAAAAACATTTCCTTATAATTTCAAAATATATTACGTTCTTGAGGAAATAATTTTATTACCGATATTAAAATTATACCGATGCCAATGGCCACTCGATGGCATCTCAATAGCTTGTCAGTGGTATGACAGTGGCTTGGCGTGAACATAAAATAGCAGAATTGAGGCCCTGGGTCAAGTGCGCGAACGTCAGTAAATAATAACTCAGTACGCATAAAATGAAAGAGTTATGAACTTATGAATACAAAAGACGCCTATGAGATAAACCGTTTAAAAAACATGAATGCTGATGTTACAGGTTTTATTCATGTAAGCATTTAATTACATTAAATCGGTATGCGCTCACTTGACCCATCTGCCTTGTGTCTATGTGAACCCGTATGAAGTAAGTAAACGTATTGCTGTTGTTGAACGTATAAAGCGGTACACGGTATATAAACAAGTATACAAAACACTCAATGATTACATGGAAGCCGGGTAAGACAGAGGTAGACCAAAAAGAGAGACAATATAACATTTATAATACACGTAACGTAACGTAACGGTAACTCACAGAAAAGGAAATTTATTTTAAGTAATAATTATAAGTATAATAAACGTGCTTTTATTTATTTTCATTTACATAGTGTTTTCTAGACTCAAACTAAGTATTCTTGTTCAATGTAACGGATAAACAGACTTAGATACAAATACAAATCTGATGTACAAATAAACAATCGGTTTTTTTTGCAAAAACGGCTGGTAGTGACAAATAAATTCAAATAATACGACGCGGAGATCTGCTATCGTCTCGCGAATGCATTCGAAACTTTCGTCCGTGCAGTTCCAAAACCTAGTAAAAGACATCTTTTAGAAGAAAAAACGTGAGGGTCTATGGACCTCTGGCCGAAACGAAGTTTCTTTCGCTTTTTAGTAGACTTTTTCTATACAGTCATTATGATTTACGAGCATATTATGAAATATAAAGTTAATAGAGATAAATTGAATTTTTTTTTTTTAAATATATGTATTATGTATAAAATACATAATGATAAACTAAACACCGAATGATCTAGAACAAAAAATGTCGGAAAAAAGTCTTGTACACATTTTTCGGTCTCGCTCCCGTCTGCTCAGAGCATGTGACGCGCGATTAGGAACTGCGTTCCAAAAACGGCGTGACAGGTCTATGGACCCCCTGTTAGGAACGAAGTTAATTTCGCTTTTTGGTAGACGTTTGGTATACAGTCATAATAATTATATTATGAAATATCAAGTTATTTGAGTTAAATTGAAAAATTTATGATAAAATATATTTGTTATGTATAATATAAATAATGATAATTTAAACACTGAATGATCTAAGACAATTAAGTTACAAAAAAAAATTTGAAAAAGGTCACAAATGGCGGTAACTATAGCAAGAAGTGTCGGAAAAAGTCTTGTTACACATTTTTCGGTAGCACTCCCATTTACTCAGAGCGTGTAACGAGCGATAAGGAACTTGGTTCCAAAG